TGTTTTCTAATTCAAACCTAATTTCATTTCCTAATTTTGGATTCGTTTAAATTAATACTATTGTAATTCGAAAATTTTAATACATCCAAATCATGGATTAACGAAAAGTAATCTGATTTTTAATTTGGAACAAAACCGCACATGTCTAATCTTAATTATATACTTTTTCATTCAATAAGTTTTATTTGTTCTATGCTAATATACAGTATTAAGACCTATTGTGTTTGTATAACATACATACTGTAGCCTGTAACAAGAACCAATATACATGTTTTCAAAATTTACCAATGTTTATACAAAAAACATTTGCTCCCATGTGTAACGGTCAGTCTTCAGATGTACCTGATAAGTCTCTTCCAGGTGGTGTACACTTCTGGCCAGATTTATGCTTAAAAATGTTTTTATTATGCTTTTCAGTGAACCCCGTCGTATAATCTCATTAAACAATACTACTTCCTTATTAGTAATTTTCACCACATGCAGTATCCTTTTCTTTGTAACAGTTTCTGTAACCATTTGTTGCCTAAGGACGTCCATGTATGTTCTTGAGTTGCAGTTCTTATACCGGGATGATACCTACAGCTACAGACATCAACCAGTTTAAAGCAGTATTAAACCCAAAAGTGAACATTTATTATACTGCAGCTAACCAATTCCTAGATGTGGTGGCTGCATTAGTTTTCTTTTTTAGGCTTTTTTTCTTCTGTTTTCATCTTGTGACCCAGCCAGCAAGTCTGTTGTTTTTGAAAAAACAAGCTCTCTGTCAGATGTATCAGTTTACAGAGATGGGACAAACCATTTACCAGTAGCAGGGGTACTTACATTGATCAGCTTTTATTTATTCATGTAAAACCTTTATCCCAAAAGAAAAATAATGTTTGCTGTAACTGATCATAAATCGTGAGCTGAAGTTTGGCTTCCATTTGTTAATGTATCTTAATCTGCTAGTCCATCTAACAGTCCCCCCAGACTGGCAATGCTGCTGCCTGCGATGCCTCCTGTGCTCCTTCATCCAGAGTGGTGTCTGTTTAATACAGGAGGTGTGTTACTGGCCACCGTGGGATATATATATATATATATATATATATATATATATATATAACATTTTTGGATATAACGTTTAATACCGCTTTAAAAAAAAGTTTTGGTTGGAGTCCCACAATAAATAAGCTAGCGTATTAAATATCTAGTAGTAGTTTGTCCCATTCATCTGGATTTTTTCTTTCATTTTGAAGACGGTTTGTAACTTTTCCAACTGTTTTTCATTTATAATGAAGAACTGAAGAAGTGGCGTTCACATTAAAGAACAAGTCCAGATAAATGTGACCTACTACGACTAGACACACCATGACCTTCATGTACAAAAACCTTTAAATACAGCCTATGAAATGTATATGGAGTTTACTTTAGTGTGAATTTCCTTTTTTCTGATGCACATAAGTATGGAAATAATTCTTTTGTTGCATCTGGAAAATGATGACAAAATACATCAAATATTCCAAGGCAATTTACAGTTGTATATGTACACTGTGGCTTGTCTTTGTGCTTTTTTATATTGCTAATTGTAATCATCCAATGAGAAATTCCTCAAATTTGAATTGTAGGATAACTACAAAGAGAGCACTGACAGAACTACTGCACATTCAGAAGGTGTAGCCAATCGAGGGCCAAGGAGTCTGAATAAGGCCGAAGGCTTCAATAAATGAAATGCTAAGTCTTGACCAAAAACATTGTTATGGTACCACATCCCATACTTTGCATTTTTCTTTATAATGGAAAAGGAAGAAAGGGGTGGGACTTTATAGGTACCAATCAACATGCAAGATTGTGATAGAAAAATTCTATCATTTTATTAACAAAGTTTTAAAAAATGAGTTATCATACATAGACACATATATAACCCCATACATCAATGGTTAATTATTTGAGTTCCATGTGGCCTGAATCTTCAGGTGGCAACTTGAATCCTCAACGCGTTTCAGCTCATAAAGAGCCTTCATCAGGAGAGAGCAGTATGGTCTGAAATGTAAACATATATCAATATCAAACCCAACATTACATGTGCAAAACTGTGGCCAGTCATGATATTTATGCCACTAATACATATCCACAATGTAGTTTAAAAACAAATAGATGGATGTATGTCCTATGTAAAGGTCCTCAGAATGGGATAAGATGGAGTGCAAGGGAGAAAAACCCATTGTCTTTGCATAAGAGGGGAGAAAACCTACCAAAAAATACAAACAAGAACAAATATACAAAGACAAAAGGTACAAAAACTCTGGTTTCTACCTGTCACACATAGATCACCAAAGTCCAGGGCTTCTAGGGTCGCCTCGATAGCACCAAACAGACCTGTGGTAGGAACAGCAATAAATGCACCCCAAACTGGCAGCCTAATAAAGACAAGGTCTAAGGTCAGCTGGTCATTAATGACCAATAATAGCCATGGGGTGCTTAAGATAACTAGCAGATTTTAATACACTAACAAACTGAAGCAAAATCCCAGCTTACGATGTGCAACACATGGGTATACAAAAGGAGGCCCCCTGAAAAGGAAGTGACTCTCTTTGGTCTCCCCTGCCTACCCTAGCCAATGAGGTCCACTGCTGTTGTGACTGGGCTGCATCCACTACCATGTAGGCAGCACAGTGGCTAAATGGTTAGCATTTCCACCTGGTAGTACTAGGGTCGGTGGTTTGAACCCCAACCGTGGCACCATCTCCCTGTGCCTGCGTGGGTTTCCTTCGAGCACTCCGGTTCCCTCTCACACTCCAAAGACATGCTGGTAGGTTAATTGGATCATGTCTAAATTGGCCCTATTATGTGTATGTATGAATGTGAGTTAGGGACCTTAGATTGTACACCCCTTGAGGGTTAGGGACTGATATGAATGTACAATAGATTTATATATATATATATATATATATATATATATATATGTAAAACGCTGTGTAAATTGACAGCGCTATGTAAGTACCTGAAATAAATAAACTGAAGTAATAGATGACACTAACGTGAATTCCAGTGCACCAGACATCACTTCCGGTGAGACTGGCATTGAACCATATATGGAAAGTGGGTTAGCGTGGCTGTTCAGGCCAGGATATTGTGTGGCCCCATGTTGTAAAATGCATGTTGATTGGTACCCCCCACTGCCTTTCTTTCTTTTTCATTATGAAGGCCTAAGGCTTCATTCACATGGTCATGCTTAAAGAATGTTACATCAACATTTCATATTCCTAATATGTGCCCTTGTACTATGTACTTGTGTTAAAAAGTATCCTGTTCTCTTTGTATTACTGCCTTTGTGTGAAATACCTGGTGATCCTGCCAGCCCGACGGCTTTCTTATTTCAAACTGACTACGTTAGGCATGAGAGAACATTTATCCACTGTGGTCAGTTTTTCTGGCTGTGCTTGGAGAACAGCCTGCCTGTCCTCTAATGATCAGACCTGTGCTGATATGCCCCCCCCCCCCCCCCACTGCACAGCCATTTGCTAGAAAGATTAGTGTACTGATGTTCTTTCACCCCAACTCTCTAAGCCCTTTATGCAGCTGAGAAAAGATATTATGTGATTATATATATATATATATATATATATATATATATATTGTGGCAGTACGATGTCCCACCAGGGTGATATGGTAACACAGAGTTCTCTATCAAGCAGGTTCAAGGGCTCCAGGGGGTTTTCTTGATTAGAAGGAAACTGGCTTTTCAGTTTCCTCATTGTATAGAAAATCTATTTTGGGTCCTGGAACCCCGGAAATTTCTTAGAGCTCTGGGTGAGAGGTCCAGGTTTTTGGAACCACCAGCACAGTGACTGATCAGGTGAGTGCTGGGTTATTCATGACATGACCATTGTTCTGGGCTCCACTCTCATAAGCAGTCCAGGTGTGCAGGGGAGGGGAGCAGCCACAGAGGTGCATTTTGGTGCCGGAAAGAGACCCAAGCCTGGTGGCCAGAGCAGCAGCAAGGGGCTGCTATCTATGTAGACAGTGTTGGCAAGGAATGGTGAGGGTCTAAAGTGGAAGGCCTGAGTAGCACTGTGGTATGCATCACCTAGGAGCCAGGAGGCTGTATAATTTATGGATTTGTGGTAATGAGGAAGACCACCTGCGTGGAAAACCATGAATTATGCTTTATGGAATTTTGTGTGAACTTTCCTTAAAAAAAAATGGGCCAACAAGCCCTTAAGGCTAGGTTCACATCTGTGTGGGAAGTGCTGCGGATCCGCATGAAAATCCGTGCAGCCACACCACCCAAATGCGGACCCGCGGGCGGGTGCCATTAATTCTAATGGCACGTCGCCCGCACTGGAAAATGCAGTTGTACTGGGAACTGAGGCTCCCTCACGGGGCACGGGAGTCCATTCAAAATGTAGCATATATGTGAACCTAGGGTAAATGGAAATATTTGGCTGGTAAGGGTTCACATATCCTTTACGCGTACACCCATGTGAGGACCGTGTTTTCCCTCAATGGGATATACAGGTGTTCCTGCATTTGTATGCAGGCAGTACCATTCATGTCAACTGGGACAGGCTACATGCACAGCCACTCTGACATTGGTGAGGGTGTATGGGCATGCAGGTGCAAGGACTGCCTGGTCACGGATGCACAAAACACCTAAGCATTTCATGTGGGTAAAAAACCGCCCTTGCATGGGTATACACTTAAGTACATCCATGCAAACGAGGCCTTAGATGTGGCATCCTCTACCTACACTTGGCACTTGGTAATATTCCTCTGTCTGTGAACATAGAGACATCTTACACCACCCCAAGCACAAGAGAGCATAGGACGCTTTTGATTCTCAGCAATGTAATTGGACATTATTAACGTTCATACACACATTAAAAGGCTTTATACATCTGTTCAAATGCTTATAATATGCATTGTACTTCTACGAGATAGAAGCATAGGTCTTTCTCCTGCACTTAAGGTGTTACTAAACCCACAACAGTAAAATCAGTCTGTATATTCAGTAAAGCATGCTTGTTATATTCACTGTGGAACCTAAGGGGTTAATCCTCCACATTTACTTATTATTACAAAAATGTATGTGGATGAGGTAGCAATAGACATACAGGCACCATCCCCAATAAATAAATATATAGAACACAAATAGTTTCCACTTCCCAAAAAAGAAGAAATAAGCAAAAAAGGGGACTTTAAGTGTGCCAAAATTAAATATATAAACAGAAACAATTCCACAAATGAAATTTATTCATACAAATAACGGAAAATATTTTGAAACCATTGCTGTTAGAAGCCGTAAGACGATATTTCATCAGATATGTCAAATGCTGGTATGTATATAACATGCGAAGGTGTATTAGTATCCGATGATTACATAAAACAAGGCTTAAGGATCAATACGTTTCACTATCACCGCTTCATCAGGATCTATGCCCACAAAAGAACATTACAGCAACTATATCAAAAGAAAAAAATATAAATTTCTACCTACTTATACAAACAATATAATATCATAAATATATACACATTCATATGGTTATTAATGAAAACACTGAGAAGAGAAGAGAAGGAGAAGAAAAGCAAAAAAAAAGGGAGGGGGGGAGTTGAGAGACAGGGGAAAGGGGCATTATGATAAAAAAAAAGGCTGTTTGATCCTGTTTTCTCTGATCCTCCCCCTTTTCCCTTTTTCTACTGTCCCCAATCCATCTGTCGCAGTTAGAGCAATAGTGGCGAGTCTGCACATGCTCTGTTTGATGTGTATTGCTAGAGAGGTTTTTTTGGGAGGGTTCATGTGATTGGCACAGAGCCAATCAGCACTGTCCAGACAGAGCGTCAGGGGTCATTGGACGGTCAGAGGAGAATAGAAACTCCTCCTACAAGATTAACCAGTACTTAGCCAGACACTGCTTGAAGTCACAAGACTGCTATATACTGCTGATAAAGAAAAGGTAATTAGCAGTTTATATTTACAAAAAAATTGCATTTCCATTTTCTGTATGGGGGAGGGGAGTATTAGATGTACTAGCAGATTTGAATACACTAAGAAACTTTAGCCAAACTCCAGCTCACACTTTATAAGCAGTTACAGCAAAACATTTTATTTTCCTTTTGGGGTAAAGGTTTTACATTAATAAATAAAAGCTGATCAGCGCCCCTGTAAGTAATAAATGGTTTGTCTAAATTCTGTAACTTCTACATCTGCAGGACAACTTGTTCTGTTTAAAAACAACATACTTACTGGCTGGAACACGAAATCAATGGAAATCTATGTACACTAAGTGGACTATTGCTTGTCTAAGGGACTAGCCTCTCTATGAGAGGCTGACAGCTGCTTCAGCTGGATAAGGCTGAATGGTACACCTACAGCACGGGTGCCAAACTGGCGGAACTCCAGCTGTTGCCAAAATACAAATCCCATGAGGCATTGCAAGATTGACAGTTACAAGCATGACTCCCAAAGGCAGAGGCATGATGGAACTTGTAGTTTTGCAACAGCTGGAGGGCTACCAGTTTGACACCCCTGACCTAGTGGTATGAACACGTAGGACAGAATGCACCTGGGCCAAATAGCCAGATTGCAAGAAGTCTGCTTTCTGGGTGTTCATACCTGGGCACATACTGGCCTAAAAGTCTGTACTGATAGGTTCACTGTCCAGCCACAGCAGCTAGTTTGACAAGCTGTTGACAGCAGGGCTGGGCAATGCAACTGTGCCCTCCTCCTGCAGCTAAATGCCAGAGCCCCATGCACCAGGGCTAATGGTCCACTGTGAGGCCTTAAGGTATGCAGGGGTTTTTAACCCTTTGTCTTAGAAAAAGAAGATCAAACTCAGTCAAAATTGATTTCTAGATTGTATGGTACTTTATTGCAGGGAAAACCCTCTAGATTTTCCTGGGCTTAGGTCCAATGGGACAGACACCTCCTGGATGTGGATAAGCTGGATTGGGATGAGGTTTATGCTTTCTATTTTAACACAGTAATTTCTGCTAGAGACAAAGTCATCCAAATATGTTTTTTCCATATATAGGGTCTACTTTACGTGGATTCAACTGTTCAAAATAGGGAAAAGGGACAGCTCTGCATGTCATAAGTGTCAGGTGACTGATAGGAATCTTGTACATATGATCATGAAATGACCTATTTGGTCTCTAACTAGGATAAAATTTGTTTTTCAAAACTTTGAAATCCCCAATATTTGTAACCCAAAGTGGTGCCTATTAGGAGTATGCAGTGGTATGGATCTTGGAAGTGCTCAAAAGATCTTTCTGCCTTTTCATGCTAGGAAGACTGTAGTATTACTTTGTATTTCCACAGCAACCTTAGATATTAATGCCTGGAAAAGACTGGGTAATAACATCCTTCCTCTCTATAGAATAGCATGTGAGGCCAGAAGTTACACAGCTAAATTTAACAAGATTTTGAGGAACTGGATATTTTGTTTCAATTCTTGTGAACAACTTTCCATGTCTTCTGCAATTTAATTTATTTTTACCACACTATTTCTACCATCCATTTCTCTATCATATGGGTACTGTTAGAACATTATGGCATTCATGTACAAGTGAGGAGGCTGTTTCTCCCTTTGTCAATGTTTACTGTATGCTAAGAACACCTCCACAACCACACACTGTTTTGAGGATTTTTTGTATGGTTTTGTTTTTATGTCTACAGTTCTTAAAGTGGAAGACTAGCCTAAGTCTAAGGCAGGCCTTAGATGATACGATTTGCAGGAAAGAAAATCACTTGATTACCCCATCAACACAGTGTTGATGAGTAAATCCCTCCCGTGGACCCATTGTGTTCTCCAGACAGTGAGGGTGGGGGGGTCCTGGTGAACTGTCTCTGCCAGGAGAACACAATGATTATTGCTAGGGTCTATAGCTGCTGGCAATAATCGCATGTAAAAATCTGACATGCTGGTTGTACCCAAGTTGATTGATGGATCGACTTCAGTACAAGCAGACTGCCCATAGATGGTCCAAATCTCGACTGGTCTCTACTGAACCAGCCGAGATTTGAAACATCTATGGCCAGCTTAACTATTGTTAAAAGAATTCTCTCCCACTCCTACCTATCCTGCTTAAACTGTTTAAAAAAGATGTGATACTTGCCTATTCTTAAACCTCTCCAGTCCGGTCCTGTTATCATGCAGCTTCAGCTCAGGGAGTGCTGGACAACACCTGGGAACTCCAGGAGGCGTGACGTCACTCATAGGCTCCAATGGCCAGGCCGTTGTTGGCTCTTCTCTCCCCTTCAGCAGGCATCACCAACACAAGAGAACCAGAGTTGCAGGATCAAAAGACTGAACCAGAGCAGATTAAAAATAGGTAAGTATGAACATCTTTATTATATAGGTTAGACTGGTAGGAGTAGGGAGAGGGAACATTTTTAAGAATAGATAGTGTTAGGGTCCATTCACACGAGAAACTGCACATCTACTGCATGTTTTTTCTTTGTACATTTGCGCTCATTTGATACGCATTTGCATGCAGTTGATGCATGTTTTTCTATCTGCAAATGATCTGTGAGGTCACATCATGTTTCTTTCTTTCCTTGGGCTTCTATGTGCACTGAAATGTGTGTGCATTTTTGTGTGTTTGCGGTGCAGAAAAATGCAGTACGCTCTACTTTTTTGTATTGCACTGCAATGGGTGTGAACTATGCCCATAGGATAGCGGGATTTTGGACTGGTATTGCAGTTGGAGTGCAGTCAAAAATGCATCCAACTGCACCTGGTATGGAAAGGCCCTTAGGCTTTTCTTCCACTTTATTTATCTAAACTTGCAAAGCCTGCTCCCATGTGTCCCAGCTACATACATATTTCTTTGATACTACTGTTCTGAATGAGGTGAATAATTTTAGCATGTAATGGTGAACTTGGATTTTATAATAGAAATGTACTATACCAAATATGCAAGAATTGAGAAATGTGAAAGCAGAGCCCAGGATATATTCTACTGCCAATAATAGAAACAAAAATTGAGGAAATGGTGAAAAGAATTCCTCTTTACCCCGATCCCACATGCAGTATTTTTCAAAAGTTGTATTAGATCTTTTTGCTTTAGAAAGTGCAAACTATTGACTGCGGGCAGTTACAGCAGAATTCTTTAATAGAACAAGATGATTTAACATTTACTATTACTGAGTAAATGAAAGCAATGTGTTTTAGATACACTGTTTCAATAAAATCTGAAAGGTTTACTAAAGCCTATGATTTTCAGTAGGGTTGGGTATTTTTTGTCAGCGAGTATGAGTACCGATACTTTCCATCAAGAACTTTCTGATACTGAGTACTGATACCTTTGTGGGGTTATTTGAGCCCATACAAAATGAATGGGCTCAAATCACACTGCAAAGAATTATGCGCGATTTGAACAGGAATGCAGTGTGATTCCTCTCCAAATCGCATGCGGGTTCCCCCACCACTCCGTGTGATCCCAGTGTAGAAAGAAAGGAAGCACCATCTAAGACACGGGTGTCAAACTGGTAGCCCTATAGTTGTTGCTAAACTACAAGTCCCATGAGGCATTGCAAGATCGACAGTTACAAGCATGACTCCCAAAGGCAGAGGCATAATGGGACTTGTAGTTTCGCAACAGCTGGGGGGCCGCCAGTTTGACAACCCTGATCTAAGAAGTGCACCAATGGGCTGTTATAACAACTCACATGTTAAAAGGAGATGTAGAAAGTTCTAGGACCCCTGTGGGTATAGGACAGAAGTGATGTTAGCTTAGGGACAGACCGCCTATACACCTCCTCCAGCCCGGTGAGCACCGCAAGCAGCCGTGGTTTTGGATTTGACATGCAAAATATATTATATGCTCTTCATGTGAGTTGTTAAAACATTAATAAACTGTTTATTTTCCTATTGCTGCACTTCTTAGATGGCGCTTCCCTGTCTTTCTATACTGGGATCATACAGGAGCAGGGGGGGAAATCACACTGCATTCCTGTTCTGATCGCATGTGACTCTTTGCAGTGTAATTTGAGCCTATTCATTTTGAATGGGGTCAAATCACACAGCAAAGGTATTGGTGTTGGGTATCGGTAGTTGGGTGCTGGGTATCGGGAGCATTTGCAGGATCACCGGTACCGGTATTGGTATCGGTGTAATCCTAATTTTAAGCAGTCAGCTTCCAGTCCTAACACAATCACATGGATAGACGGAGAAAACTATTCAAATTGTTCAGGATTTGCTCTAAAAAAAATGCAAATTGCCATATTGAAATACAGGAATATACATATTAATAGGGACACCAACTCAGCTACTCATTAGCTATTAAATGTGCTCCATTCTGCGACATGACACGCATTCAGTTGAAATCACAGGCATTTTACCTGCTATGGTCATACAAATACAAAGACAAAATCACCAAATGGAGGCTAAATACTACAACAGGACTGCAAAAAACCATCGACCGATTTAGAAGAGGGAGCTCAAAAAAAGGATGAAGAAGGGTGCCAAGTTTTGTAATTTACAATTTATTTGTCTAAATTACAACAAGCCAGGTCTTATCTGGTGCAAACGGAGGATGTTGTTGTATATGGAAGGACCAAAAGACCATAGTTCTGAAATGTCCCCTATTGGGATGGACTGTCTCTCTTTTGAAACCAAATGCTTCTGTCCCTCATTTCAAACTCTGTTGTCCTTCTTGTTGGTCTGATGCGTGGAGCTCTATAAGTAATGTACTATTTATTTACCAAAAGTTTTCAACTGCACTAAGCCTTTCACCCAACCTTTGTATGATTCACATTGTTTTGCATTTTGAAAGACTGGAAATATAACATAACCACTTGAGCTCCGGCAGGTTTTAAATCCTTCATGACCTAGCAGTTTTTTCCAATTTAACACTGTGCTAACTTAACTGGTAATTGTGCGCTCATGCGATGCTGTACCCAAACAAAATTTATATCATTTTTTCGCACAAATAGAGTTTTTTTTTGGATGAATTTGATCACCACTAGATTTTTTTTATTTTTTGGATATAAATTAAAAAATAAAAACATGAAAAATTAAATGAAAATTTAAAAAAAAAAACCCTTTTTTTTACTTTCTGCTATAAAATATATCCAATTTAAAAAAAAATCAAATCTCTTCATAAATTTAGGCAAAACATATTCTGCTACACATCTTTGGTAAAATAAATCCCAATGAATGTGTATTGATTGGTTTGGGTGAAAGTTGTAGCGTGTACAAACTATGCTGTATATACAGTATATTGGATTTTTTTTTTAAAACTACTAATGGCGATGATCAGCGACTTATAATGTGATGTGACGCTGGGGGAACTGACTAACTGCCACTGACATCACCAGTGACACCAATACAGTGTTCAGTGATAATACTATTCACTATACCAATGACAGTGGCTGGGAAGGGGTTAACATTTAGGGCGATCAAGGGGTTAAAGTGTTACTAAACTCAGGACCCTGCATTCACTATATCTGGTCTCCCACAGTACACAGAACATGGAAGTGCAATTATTTTAGTAAATATAAACTGCTAAATACCTTTTCTCATCAGCAGTAGAGCAGTCTTGTGACTTTTATCAGTGTCCAGCAGAGCACTGGTTAAAGCTTATAGGAGGACTTTTCATTTTGCTCTAGGAGGATGCAGAACTCCTGACCTCTGTCTGCACAGTGCTGATTGGCCCTGTGCTTATCACAGGCACTCTCCCAAGAAAAAAAAAAACTTCTCTAGCAATACACACCAAACTGAGCATGTGCAGAGTGACTCTGCACGACATGTCTTATCAGGAAATAAGAGGGGGCACTGGAAGAAGGGAGGATCAGAAAAGTCAGGATCAAACAGCGTTTTTACACAATGCAGAGTATTAACCCCTTAGGTTCCACAGAGAGTATAACAATCATGCCTTACTGCATATAGAGACTGATTGTACTGCTGTTGGTTTAGTAACACTTTAAATGTGTGCCTAACAATGTGTAATGTGTGTATTATGTGCTGTTTTTACTAACTGATCTCTTTGTTTCTTGTCCCTCTGATTGTCAACACAGGGCTCTGGGCTGTGATTGGACACAGCCGATCAGCAGGTCCCAGCCATGAATCATTGACTGCTAACAGACTTCTGCTTTGTACAATTAAAGCATGTGTCGGCAGGGGGGTGAGCTTCTGTGCACCCTAAACCCAGAAGCAGACATCCACGTACCAGTACTTAGCTTTGCCTGCAGGGACCACCGATCCGCAGCACAATGTGGATGGGCGGTCCTTAAGTTGTTACTAGGGTGAGCACTATGTGGTATCAGAATACCTTACCATTCATAAAATTATGTTTGGGTTAGTTAATCATATTTAATTGGACTTGTCTTGTAATGTTAAAGACTTTTCGCAACTCATTCCAGTATAGCATTGAAGAATTTGCTTGGACAAGTTGCAAAACATCTTCAACATTGGAGAATAAGTCCAACTGCTATTAACTATACTATGACAAAGGAGAATCTTTACTGAGATTATGTAAGGACTTTGTTAAATGTAGATTGGTGCACCTCATGTGTCTTGTCTTCAGATAAAAAATGTCCTTTCTTTTCTAATTCACCATCATCATTTATTCTCCCTGTCAGATTCAAGATAATAACAGTGCCTATGATGATGTGGTGCAGCCTCGGCCAGTAAAACAAAAGCAATCTTAGCCACGCCAGAGGCTGGAAACCCATATTGCTAATGTATTGTTGCTGCACCCAAAAAGATCTCTTTTTTTCAGATCATTTTCATTCATCATCTAATGCCTTCTTGTCCAGATTATATTTCTGGTGATGCTGTGGTACTACTGCCACCCTGAAACACATGAAAAAATACTGATTCATGTTTGTTTAATTTCTAATTATTGGTATCAGTAGCCTCAGAGCCTAATTTTTACAGTTCTGCTGTGCTATGGTGCCCTAGCATGCCACAAAAAAGAATTATAAAGTGATGGTCTGTTATTTTCAAATCATTTATGATCACAGGCAGGGTGGATTTGATTTAATTCAAGCTGATTTAAATCATGATTTAAATCGCTAGTGAAAGGCTTGATTTAAACCATAATTTTTAAAGAGCAACTGTCATCTCTGTCCCACAGCAGCTCCTCATCTGACCCTCTGTTGACTCACTGATAGTCCCATTCACTTTAATGGGATGGCAGGTGATGCGGCAATGAAAGAACAAGGGGAGGGACGTGGTGGCAGCAGGTGAGTGGATGCCCGCTAACAGACGCTGCCATGATGGATCTAAAATGACAGGTGCTCTTTAAATGTAAGCAATCCGACTCATTCTTACTGGTAGTTAGAATCTTTAATATTTGCAAACCAAATGAAGGTTTCCTTTGTAGAATAATAAGCTGTCAGGTTAGTAAAACAGCGATATCAGAATTGATTTTAGGTTAATAGGTTAATCACACATAGTTGGAAAACTACACAAATTCTATTATTTCATGTTTTTTTCTCATGGTTACTGTGAAATTGTGTGAATACATCAATGCAGTGCATGTTATCTCTGCTTGCAGAGCTTGGATTCATTGAAGGAGTTTACCAAAAATTTAAATATTGCAGAATGTACAGCCTCATGCTACATAACTAAGCTCCATTTCATGCTGAATATACAAAATTATTAATGTATCTTAAATAGAAAACTATCTTTAGACTTTTATCTTTTTACTCCAAAAGCATTTTATTAAAATAAATTTGATTAAAATAAAAAAAATCCGATTTAAATTGAAAAAATTCAATAAAAAAAAAAATTCATCAATTTTTATCCACCCTGATTACAGGCCTTATTATCTGGTTCAGGACCAGGGGCGGACTGACCATTCAGGCACTCGGGCACTGACCAAGGGCCTGGGGTCAGTAGGGGGGCCCATGAAATGCCCCTGGTACCTTTTATAGGCTTTTTTGGGTGTGCTTTGAGTGTGGGCAAGGGCACAGGGGCCCCATGATCTCCTACTGCCCGGAGGCCCCATGAGTTGTCAGTCCACCCCTGTTCAGGACTTAAATCGGAGTTCCACCCAAAAGGGAAGTTCCGCTTTAAAGATTGGTCCCTTGCTTACCATTAAGGATTGGCACTTTTGGGGAGCGGGTACCTGAAATTGACAGGTGCCCGCTCCCTAGGTGACCGGAAGTGGAAGTTGTCCTCCTACCCTCCCTCCCTATAGTCTTCTAGTCCCAGAAGACTACAGGGCCATTCAAGAAGCGCAGCGCTACTCGCGCATGCGCAGTGGGCACCCGGCTGTGAAGTTGCAAGCTGTTACAGCTGGGTGCCCACACTGAAGATGCCAGCGCCTGGAATACAGGATGGCTGCGGGGGATCGAGGGACAGGTAAGTGGCTGTTTTTTAAAAGTCAGCAGCTACAGTTTTTGTAGCTGCTGACTTTTATTTTTTTACAGTGGGAGTGGAACTCCGCTTTAATGGTGATGATTCTGGTGGCCATAAAAATAGTGATTTTCTCAATATTCTTAGCAAAAGGCACTTTTTCCACGTTAACATTTTTTTATCTTGAAAATCAAGGGTGTCTGTACCTATCAAATAGAGTGAAAGGTCTCTACTGCGATCCTTTTATTTTCTACACTTTTCCAAAAAAAAAGAATTGTTTTAACCCTATAAAAACATGGATAATTACATCACAGATGGGATTGAGGGGGCAAATTGGGTAAATAACAGCATATTTTAGGAAGTTTGCTCATCTACTTACTATCTAATAGAATATGAGATTAGTCGTATTTACATACTCTCTATAGAGGAAGGAAATGCAGTGTAATGAATATAACATCTGTTATGTGACATATTCTTTCTATTAAACTGACCATAGTCCTGAGCGTAGTCTGGAGTATGGGGCAATTTCCTAACTGTGTCAACTTTCAGCACAACTATGATGACGTGTTCTAATCCTAAGGCCTGTGTTATGCTAAGTCTAAAATCAGGAACTGAAGGCACATTACTATATAACAGACACTCCCTGTGACTGTCAGATAAAGATGAAGTTTGTAGTAAGTGTGACAATATTGACAAGGAATGATTAACAAAAAAAGTTAAAAATAGAGTTTAAATGTATCACCCGCTGTAAAATGAAATGAGGATAGATAGGGCAGTGCTTGTCTTCCTCTAAACTACAAGAATGACAGCATAGGAATCCTGCATCCGGCTGATTACAAGCAGTGGTTTATAGACCCACGGTGGGCCACACTTACTAAAGGGTTACTAAAGGGTCAAGGTTATATATGAAAGATGGGTTGAGTCTGGACGGCTGTAGAAATACTAGTTTCTTATATTCTAATTTCAAGATCACCGTTTCTGAGTTCTACTGCAGCAGAGGTACTCCCTTGCCTGATGTTCATTTATAATAATTTTCTATGTAAGAAATAGAAATGTGTGATTTTTGCGTTCCAAATTAATATTTGGATGAATTTTTTTATTCAGAGATTTGGACTCAAAATTTTAAATATTTGGCAGTAGCAGGAGGCAGTATGTTCATGAAGTGCTGGAGAGCAGTACAAAAATGAGTGTCTGCAGGCAACAGTGAAGCATGGTGGAACTCTTGCAGGTTTGCGGCTGCATTTCTGCAAATGGAGGTGGAGATTTGGTCAGGATCAATTGTGTCAATGCTGAGAAATACAGACAGATATTTATCCGTCATGCCATGCCATCAGGTGTGTGATTAGCCCCAAATGTATTCTGCAGCAGGACAAAAACCCCAAACATACAGCCAATGTCATTAAAGCGGAGCTCCACCCAAAAGGGGAAGTTCCGCTTTAAGGACTGCTCCCCATTAAGGATTGGCACCTTTAGGGAGCGGGGGGGGGGGGGGGGGGGGTAGCGGGTACCCGAATTTGACAGGTACCCGCTCCCACTTCTGTTCCAATCGGAAACAGAAGGTGTCCTCCCTCCCTGTAGTCTTTTGGTACACGTGACAGGTCCCAGAAGACTACAGGACCATTCACAAAGCGCAGTGCTACTCACGCATGAGCAGTGGGTACCCGGCTGTGAAGCCGCAAGCTATCACAGCCGGGTGCCCACACTGAAGATGCCGGCCTCCTGGAATACACTTGAGTCAGAAGATCTGTGGTTAGTTCTCTCAGATGTGTGATACAACCTACCTGCCAAGTTCCTTCAAAAACATTGTGAAAGTGTACCTAGAAGAATTGAAGAATTGATGCTGTTTTGAAGGCAAAGGGTGGTCACACCAAATATTGATTTGATTTGGAGTTCTCCTCTGTTCATTTACTTTCAATTGCGTAAATTGATAAAAAATAAACTAGTAACACTTCGATTTCTGAAAGCGTTCTTAAATTACAGCATTTTTTCACACCTGCCTAAAACTTTTGCACAGTAGTGTAGAACAAAAAAGATTCCCATATACTGCTCACATGTATCAGTGTGAAAGGCATAGTAAATATAGCAAGTAACAAGCCACATAAAATATAAATGCGGTCCAATGGGGTTCATTGACTTAAAGAGATCACACACTGGGGTTGATTTACTAAAACTGGAGAGTGCAAAATCTGGTGCAGCTGTGCATGGTAGCCAATCGGCTTCTAACTTCGGCTTGTTGAATTAAGCTTTGAGAAAAAAAACTGGAAGCTGCTTGGTTTCTATACAGAGCTGCACCAGATTTTGGATTCTCCAGTTTTAGCAAATCAACTCCACTGTTTATTTACATTGTCCTTTCTTTTTCAGTGTGTGAATGATGGCACTGCAATTATTTTAATTAAAAAAAAAAATCTAAGTGCCCTTTTTCCCAATCAATATACAGCTATCACATGACCCAGCTCCTTCCCAGCCTGTCTGCAAAGAAACTTAAGCATGAGGACCCCACAAGTATATATATATAGAAAAGGTACAGCGCTTAAATCACAATAAAAGGCTAAATGTGTCAAGTGGAACAGTAAAGTGCATCACATATGTGTATAAAACCTGTGAATAAAATGAACAGCAAATCTGCAAGCAATAAAGCTTTATCGCTTGCTGATTTGCTGTTCATTTTATTTGCAAGTTTTATACACTTATGTGATGCACTTTACTGTTCCACTTGATACATTTAGCCTGTTATTGTGATTTTAGCGCTGCACCTTTTCTATATAAGTAATATCAATAAACAGTTTTTAAATTGTCATACGAATAAATATCTTTATTATTTTTTGGCTTTAACTTGGTGTGAGTGGATTTCTGCCAGTCACAGGCTGTGTCGCACCCCACCAGCCTGTGTCTTAGAATAACAGGGAGGTGAAGCCTTCATTAATCTACATGTAATATCCCACCCTCATTGTGTTTAGCTCTTTAGTGGGCATGGAGGAGGAGGAGGGAGGGAGGGAGGGGGCTGTCATTTACCACTGTGTATATGCCAACATTTGTGACTCTATGGTCACATGGGCTGCTCAGATGTGATAGGGAGGAAACGCTCAGCATAGAAACTCACTGAAAACTGAGCATATGCAGAGCTGCCAACACTACTCTGCCAAATCCCTAGCTATATTGGGGACATGGAAAGAAGGTGGAGATGGAGAGGATCAACCAGTTTTTTTTTGCACAATACAGAAAATCAATCCCATAGTGAGTACAAACAGCATGTACTACAACATTTATTGATAGCTTTTTATGATATGGGTTTAATGACACTTTAAGCATAGCTTTATTCATTCACATATTAAAAAAAGGAAAGCACAAAATAGGATCCTTTAGGATGGAGAGTGGGCAGAGGTTTTCGCAAATATGTTACATTTACCAGGCCCTTCCTTTCCAGAATGAACACAATGAGTGATCGGTACCGATCACTAACTGTGTTCATTCATAACTGAAGCATAATAAACAGTGTTTTTTTGGGGCCATATGGGGCCCCGTGGTTTATAACAGCAGCCCTGTCTGTCTCTATAAAGATGTTTTATTTTAAAATATAATGACTATCCATCTCACATTAAACTATTCATCTCCAGATGAACTATGAGGCTATGATAAACGAATAGCTGATGCAAAGTTGTTTACATAAAGGTAGCGTCAAAGACACAAGGACACTACCAAATACAGAAGGAGTTCTTCAAGAACCATGAAAATGTAGAATTGCCCTCCAAAGGCACTGGGTTTAGCAGGCTAAATATATTGATTAAAAATTGAATGAATTAATTTAAAAAAGCACAAATCATAAGCGGCTTCTAATATTTGTATGCTATACATGGTTGTTTTCTGAAACTTTTTGGAGAACAGGATTTTTTTTCCTGTTAGAGCAAATTGGACCCAGTTGGTTTAGGGGCAAAGGTACTAACAACTCCGTACTCTAACAAAAATGAATGCAGGGCATACATGGATCGAATTTCAAACACATTTTCTTTAGAAAATCTAAGATTTTGTGTGTTATCTAACAGGTTGCCATAACAATGGCGGGGACGGCGGAAGTTCCCTGCCCCCTTATGGCAACCTGTCCATCAAATCACACCATGGGGAAGGCAAGTGAGGTCTGGGAACGGAGCAAGCCCCGCAACAATAATTAGAACAGCACAGATCTTACACTTCCTTCCCACACTGGACTCTGGTATCTGGTAAAATGGTGCCAAATTCCGCCCATTCGTGTCATTTCGGTTTCAAAGTAATGCAATATTCAGTCACTAGGAACCCAAAGGACTCCTAGGATACAGGAAAAGACATCCCAGGAGACGGATCGCCTTAACACGTCATTGCCTAGGCCAGGGGTCTGCAACCTTTAAGACATAAAGAGCCACTTGGACCCATTTCTGAGAGGGAAAAAAAGACTGGGAGCCGCAAAACCATTGCAACATTTAAAACAAATCCGACACTGCCTATATTGCAAAAAACGCTCTGGTCATGAAAGGGGGTTTAAGGGCCCAGTAAGCAAAGGGTTAATCAGGGCCACAGTGTATAGTCATAATCACAATCATAGCCTTAGGTCAGTGGTGGGCAACCTTTTTTTTCGACTGAGCCAAATCTCGCCAAAACCACGATTGAAATTTATTTTGAGAGAAACATTTTTAAAACTGAAAATACATCCCCCATATAGTAATTCATCCCCCATATAGTAATTCATCCCCCATAGTAATTCATCCCCCATAGTAATTCATCCCCCATATAGTAATTCATCCCCCATAGTAATTCATCCCCCCTATAGTAATTCATCCCCCCTATAGTAATTCATCCCCCATATAGTAATTCATCCCCCATATAGTAATTCATCCCCCGTAGTAATTCATCCCCCATAGTAATTCATCCCCCATATAGTAATTCATCCCCCTATAGTAATTCATCCCCCATATAGTAATTCATCCCCCCTATAGTAATTCATCCACCCTATAGTAATTCATCCCCCCTATAGTAATTCATCCCCCATATAGTAATTCATCCCCCTATAGTAATTCATCCCCCATAGTAATTCATCCCCCATAGTAATTCATCCCCCATAGTAATTCATCCCATATAGTAATTCATCCATCATATAGTAATTCATCCCTCATATAGTAATTCATCTCCCCTGTAGTAATTCATCCCCCCTGTAGTAATTCATCCCCCCTGTAGTAATTCATCCCCCGTAGTAATTCATCCCCCCTATAGTAATTCATCCCCCCTATAGTAATTCATCCCCCCTATAGTAATTCATCCCCCATAGTAATTCATTCCCCATATTGTGTGAATTCACTTACCTTTGCTCCGCGCGTTCCTCTCGCTGGGTTCCCGCGCCGTTCTGGTCTTCAGGGCGGACTGTGAGAGGAGAGGAGTTCGTCACGCTGCCCCGCCTACATCCGGGCTGCCCCGCCTACATCCTGACAGCCAATGTTTGCCAGCGGGCGCCCGGCACACAGAAGATCTACATTAAAAGAGCCGCGGCTTGCCGACCCTATTGCCTGTCACCTGGTGGGCAGTGTGCTCCGGAGCCGCAGGAAAGGTGAAAAAGAGCCGCATGCGGCTCCGGAGCCGCGGGTTGCCGACACCCGGCCTAGGCGGTTGGGACCGAAAGTGCAGTCCTGAAATACGGTTTTAAGATATTTATATTAAGAAAAAAAAAGTTTTATCCAAATCGGGCTGGACAACACATGAGCCATGTAATCAGAGGAACTTTAAAAAATGGGTGGAACTCCACTTTAAGCTAGCGTGCATGGAGCCTAAATGTCAGTATTCTGCAACCAGTAACCAAAAACAGCAATATAAACATTTAGATTTTACCCATATGAGCATATCAGGATTGTGCTGCAAAACGTGGGACACCCTGGAAACTGTGCTGCAATGACGGCTCACATAGGATCCCCAGGAAGATGAGAGATCAAGAGTGGCACAGTGGCTTAGTGGTTGGCACTTCTGCCTGGCAGTACTAGGGTCGTTGGCTCAAATCCCAGCCGCGGCACCACCTGCCTGGAGTTTGCATGTTCTCCCTGTGCCTGTGTGGGTTTCCACCGGGTACTCCGGTTTCCTCCCACACTCCAAAGACATGCAGGTAGGTTAAATGGATCCTGTCTAAATTGTCCATAGTATGTGTATGTATGAATGTGAGTTAGGGACCTTAGCTTGTACACCCCTTGAGGGTTAGGGACTGATGTGAATGTACAATATATATATGTAAAGCGCTGCGTAAATTGACGGTGCTATATAAGTACCTGAAATAAATAAATAAGAGAGATTTGTATATCCTGGTGACAGGACAAGAAGGGTGACAAAACAGGGTATGGTGATCATTATTTCCAGGACTGAATGTAAGGGAAATCTTACATTTTATGTTGTCACTGAAACAAAAAATAAAGTGAAATCTTCTAATGGGGACACTTGTTCCTCTGACAACTGTCTAGGAGGGGATTCCCCTTATTTTGGAGAGATTTTCTCTTACTACCTTGTTTGGTTATGGGACAGGAATAGAAGAAAATTCTCCCCAATAGGGCCTAGAAAAAAAAGTGAGAAGGGTTTCAACCACTGCCTGCGTTATAAGAGTTAAAAAAAAAACAAGTTTAGATACTGTATAGTTTATTGTAATCAGGGGCGGACTGATCATTTGGAAACTCGGGCACTGCCCGAGGGCCCGGGGTCAGTAGGGGGCCCCATGAGATGCCCCTGGTACCTTTTTCATAGGCTTTTTTGAGTTTGGGCAAGGACACAGGGGACCCCATGATCCTCTATTGCCCGGGGCCCCATGAGTTGTCAGTCCGCCCCTGATTGTAATCACACTAGATTTCCAGCACCGCATACTAAAAAGTCCCATACAGCTAGTCTCAATTGTAGTTTTCTGAACATATATTTTATTGAGTTATAATGAGATCTGGTAAAACATAACTTTATCTGTTATTGTTATTAATTCTGCCATTCATAATTCTCCAAATCACAGGTGATGTTTAACAAATGGAAGCCCTTCTGGGTGATATTGCTGGAAGATGGGATTGAATACTACAAGAAAAAAACTGATACCAGTCCCAAGGGAATGATTCCACTGAAAGGATCTGTCATTGTTAACCACTGCCAGGAATTCAACAAAAGACTGGTAACCTACCTACCTATATTGAGAAATAATGTTTTTAATATGAAAACTATATTTGCATAAAACTTGCTTAGTCCTCATGCACACTTGACGTTTTTACAGCTGCTGTTTTTGGCTTTTGACATTTTTTTTCTACAGCCAGTAAACCCCCCAGCATGTTATCCTATGTGTCCATGCACACATAGACTGTAATCAACGTTTTTTGGCTGGAAAAACCCCCCAGAAATAGTGGGTTTCTAGAGTAGGTTTTTAGCTGTAAAAACGCTCTAACACTGAAAAATGTGGGAAAATGCGGTAAATTGCTGTAAATCATGGCAAACCGGCTTTTCTGGACTTTTTCTGACCCCCCCAAATTTTTTTTTTGTAAGAAAAAAGCTAAAATAACACAAACGCGAAAAAACGCGGCAAAATGCCACTAAACGCTGAAAAAAAAAAAAGTTTAGATACTATATAGTTTATTGTAAACACACTAGATACCAGTCCCAAGAGAATGATTCCACTGAAAGGATCTGTCATTGTTAACCACTGCCAGGAATTCAACAAAAGACTGGTAACCTACCTACCTATATTGAGAAATAATGTTTTTAATATGAAAACTATACTTGCATAAAACTTGCTTAGTCCTCATGCACACTGGACGTTTTTACAGCGGCTGTTTTTGGCTTTTGACATTTTTTTCTGCAGCCAGTAAAAACCCCAGCATGTTATCCTGTGTGTCCATGCACACATAGACTGTAATTAACATTTTTTGGCTGGAAAACCCCCCAGAAATAGTGGGTTTCTAGAGTAGTTTTTTAGCTGTAAAAACGCTCTAATGCTGAAAAACGTGGGAAAACGCGGTAAATTACTGTAACTCGTGGAAAACCAGCATTTATGGACGTCTTTTTAACTAAAAAAAAAAAAAAAAAAAAAAAAACCTAAAGAAAGCTAAAAAATGCAAATTTGAAAAAACACAGCAAAATGCCACTAAACGCTAATGCACAAATGCTAAAAAAACACTGAAAAGCTCACGTTTTTAATGAGACTTTACACAGCTAACGTTACCAGCGTTATTAAAACTCCCAGTGTACATGGAGACTTAACTTCAGCTGTATAATTTGTAAAAATAACTAAAGTGCAGCGCTCAATGGATATTATAGTGGAAGGCTCCTTATGAGATAAATTCTATCAATAAAGTTCGACAGCTGTAGTTTCCTATGAGGTAGTTATCCCACTGGAAATTGGAACTGAAATAGCAGAAGTGCGCACTCACCAGAAGCACATGAATAATGCGCATGTAGGAATAATAATCCTAGATGATCTGTAGTCAGCAGGTGGTGGGCATCCTTCTGTGGTCTGGTCAGTCAGCCTGGTTATGGTATGAGATACTGCTAGGTCCAGAGGTCCCCTTAAGGGTTGATGGGCATACAGGGCTCCCTCCTCTGGATGCTGGATGGCATAGGACTTGGTTCTGTAGACATAACAGCTCCACATAGGAGCCCAAGAACAGGTGCCAAGATAGTGTAGTATTTCTCAAAACTGAAGTTTATTCAAATATAAGGAAATGACAGGGTAGTAAACATGCTAAAATCGAGCACAAATGTAATCCAGGTATAAAATGTGTCACTGACCCTTAATAAGATGGCCGCCGGGCCTCCCTCGTGGCGGCAAAATGACGTCACGCTCTGTGCAGCTCCTCCTAAGGCCTTTCGTGCTAAGGCACATCATCAGAGGGGAGGCTGGACAGAGGCATGACTGACGTCTGCGGTATAGATATGGGAAACGGCGTACGCGCATTGAGCCGCTGCCATTTTCCCAGAGATTACCATAACTAGGCTGACTAACCAGACCACAGAAGGATGCCCACCACCTACTGACTACAGATCATCTAGGATTATTATTCCTACATGCGCATTATTCCTGCGCTTCTGGTGAGTGCGCACTTCTGCTATTTCAGTCCCAATTTCCAGTGGGATAACTACCTCATAGGAAACTACAGCTGTCGAACTTTATTGATATAATTTATCTCATAAGGAGCCTTCACTATAATATCCATTGAGCGCTACACTTTAGTTATTTTTACTGTTATTACAAAGGTCACTGTGGGTACCTTAAGTGTTCAGCTGCTGTTTATCTAAGAGCGCTCACTATATTCTTTTAATTATTTGTCTGTATAATTTGTGTTAATTAGTTTTAGCATTGATGGTGCAGCATTTTGGGTTAAGACAGGCGGTGAGGAGGTGACATAGTGCTTCCTCGCTGTCTCTTGGACACCTCTGAATCTTGGTGTTTATGTCTCTATTGGAGAGATTTGACATCCCCTCTGAGCAGATTTTCTTTCACTTCATCTCCCAATGACAGGTATTGAGAGAAGATTATACGGGTGAAAGGAAGTGAGAGAAAATCTACATACACACATAAACGTATAAATAAATGTAAACAAACATTTTAAAATGTATTAAACCATGGACGGTATCAGTAGAGAAGTGGAAGGTATCAGTAGAGCAGAGGGAATGTGCAACACACGGGGTGATTAGGGTGTGTCCAGGCACAGCAGACCCACCCTGTGCGCATGCCTATGGTGACAGGAAAAAATCTCCCTGGCCACAGGAAGTGAGGAAATATCTCCAGTAATAAGTATGGGGGGGTAGATCTTCACAGTAATAGGAAGTGAGAGGAAAAATCTCCATTATTAAGGAGGAAGGGTGGGAGAACCCTTCAGTAATAGGAAGTGAGGGGGTATCTGATAACAGGAACTGAGGGAAAATCTCACAAGAGGTAACAGGAAGAAAGGGAATCTCTCCAATAATAGGAAGGGAGGGGGCAGATCTCTACAGTAAAAGGAAGTGAGCGAGACAATCCCATTAGTGAACGGATGTGAGGGGAAATCTTCTTAGGAAAAGAAAGGGGGGTGAGAAATCCCCCTGGTAATAGGAAGTAAGGGTGGGAATCTCCCTGGTGACAGGGGATGAGAAGAAATCTCTGTGTCCTTGTTTGAGAGATTTCACTCACTTAGGGACCGTTGTCCCAGTTTGATTTGTATACCATATGCAATAGATCTGTGCTGCATTTTTCTTTTTTGAACTTTTCAAGTTAGCGCCATATTGGATTCCGCGAAGATTTGTATATTTTTGGTCAGTCAGATTATAAAATCCCATGATGCATCAGGTTTCAAAATCCAAAGGAAGCCTTTACTAGTTTACTTTATAAGGAGCGGGTGTGAATTAGTTCAAACAGCAGTTTGGGAAAGATTTGTGAATATCGCGGTAACTGTCAATCTGCTCGATTCAGGTAAAACTTTTCTCTAATGCTAGTGTTACCTTTACATTGTCCGCATTCGATAATAAAACATTAACCACTTGCCCTCCAGAGGATTTACCCCCCTTCCTGACCAGGCCATTTTTTGCATTACTGCGCTGCGTTACTTTAACTAACAATTGCGCAGTCATGCAATGCTGCACCCAAATTAAATTTACTTCCTTTTTTCCCACGAATTGAGCTTTCTTTTGGTGGTATTTCATGGCCTGTGCATTTTTTATTTTTTGCGCTATAAAAAAAAAGACAGACAATTTTGATAATAAAACAATATTTTTGACTTTTTGCTATTAAACATGTCCAGTAAAAAATTTAAGAAAAATTAAATTTCGTCATAAATTTAGGCCAAAATGTATTCTGCTACATGTCTTTGCTAAAAAAAAAAAGTCCCAATACGTGTAAATTAAATGGTTTACGTGAAAGTTTTAGCGTTTACGAATGGCGGTATAGATACTGGAAATTTTTTCTTTTAACTTTTACTATTAATGGTGGCGATCAGCGACTTTTATGGGGACTGCGGCGGGCATTCTGACACTGGGGGTAAATGACTTGGTGTCACTGGGGGGAACTGACTTGGTGTCACTGACACTGTACTAATGGCACTGGGCAGGAAGGGGTTAACATGAGGGGCAATCAAATGGTTAACTGTGTGCTGGAAATGTTTTACTAGGGGGTTGTTTCTGTGTGCTTCACTGTAAGCACACTGCTTTGGATGGCTGTGCTCTGCACAGCCATCCAAAACAGTGCACCCGAGCTGACAGGGAGGAGAACTGTTAGTAAACAAAACAGTTCCCCATCGAAGATTGTCAGAAATCACCTGGCGCGCCAGTGAGTAATCACCAGCCGGAACCCAGTAATTGACAGATGTGGCCGTGAATAGCAGCGCGGGTAGGGAAATGCAAAAAATCATGTATATATATATATATATATATATGTGTGTGATTTTGCGCACCGTGCCACCCTGTAGCAGTATTTCTATTCTATTCTAATTATAATACTGTACTGCGGTGAAAAGGTTTTATATTCAGCAATTTATTTTTTCATTAGCTTGTCTTCAAGATGACCACTTCTAAACAGCAGGATCACTATTTCCAAGCCTCCCACTTTGAAGAACGTGATGCTTGGGTGAAAGATCTAAAAAAGGCATCAAAATGTATTCAAGAAGGACAGAAGTTTGCTAGAAAATCCACAAGGCGTTCCATCAGATTACCAAGCACAATCAATTTAAGGTTAGTCAACTGTCTAAGAATCTAAAGCTGAACTCTAGACGGATATAAAAAACAACGCAATGTAAAGTATATGTAAACACAGTATCTATTTTCATTATGCTGAGTAGGTTTCATTGTAGGTTTTATTGTATTCATCTTTATTAAAGCAATAGTAAACCACCACAAAAAAAAAAAAATTGGGCTACCCGCGGGTTTAAGTATTAATGTACTAATATGCACTGCATATTAGCACATGATGACAGACCTACCTGCACACAGCACAGCACTGTCATGGCTCCCCGATGCTTCCATCTTCACCCCATCTTCCTTCCAGGTTCGTGTGCTCTGACTATATGAGAAAAGAAACAAAGTGCAGCTCTATAAATAAATGAACATAAGAAAAAAAACTAACTTATAATACAAATGTAAAAATGTGCATTACAACAATCAAATAAAGTCCAATGATGACGTGCTCAAGTGCTTGAAGAAATAAATCCTCTCATTAAAATACCACCAAAAGTGCCATGAAAGTTGAAAAGTGATGACTTGAATCTTCATTTTACTGATGGAGAAAAGCCCACACTCCAAAGAGGCACATTATAGCATCTTACCAGAGCACAATGACCCTTGCATGTGACAGATAGGTCAAACTGCGCTTAAGTAGATTAAAATATCGCATCCAGAGATGGCAACTCCTCCGGCTAGTATGCAAGATGGAAAATTGGACTCCCAAGTCACTAAGGTGTAAAATACAAGAAACGCTTCCATAGTGTAAAACTGCCAGGTATAATTTATTAAAGAAATAAAAAGGCATCACCAGACTTATCAGACCATATGAAATACTCAGGAGCGGAGCTTCGATGATCATCTTACGCATGCACGTGGGGGCCTTTAAAGGTATGGCACAGGTCTGCCGTCCCTTCAGAGCACATGCGCCAATGACGTCACTGGCTGCATCCCGCGTGAATATCTCCCAAACAGTGCAAGTTTAGGAGATATTAACTGTACCTACAGGTAAGTCTAATTATAGGCTAATTACAAGTTAAAAAGTCGACTTTACTTCCACTTTAGGCAAATTATTTTCTTGTGAAACTATTATAATGGGTTTTTTTTCCACAATGTTTTTTTACCTTTCCATAGCACTAAGCCATGGCCTCACAAGACTGCAGGGTTGCCATCCTGGTGCGTGCCTGTTGGGCTGTCTATCCTTTAGACCTAATAGGCAGCCCAATGGCCCAATGAGCGACTGAAGGAGGGCTCACATCAGGCTGACAACACTTCTGCTAATTGTGAAGTAGCGGCTTAGCCCCAATGGGCTGTTCATTAGGTGTATCAGATAAGCAGCCCAACAGGAAGGAACTGTGTCAGGGTTTTGTAATTGCTATCTCTATCTAGCAAGGTTTTTCCTTTACTTCCTGTCTTAGTGATCGCCTTTCCCCGATCTATCCACCACAAAATGTGCAAAGTTACTTCGTGAATTCTTTCACACTTTCTTCTAGGGCCCATTCACGTGTGCACATCTTCATGGGTATGTTCACCTGTAGTACAGCACACTGTTTAGCTTGTGATGTGCTGCCAGCCTGCCATTCATTTCCAATGGCCCCCGTATGTGCAAACACCTTACTGGAACTGGAAAAAAGTTGTACATTCTGGACCATGGACATGCAATGAGGCCTCATTAAAAAATGAATAGATTGTACACTAGGATGCTCACCAATGCCCCAACACAGGAAAATGTGTTTATACTTGTAAATGGGCCCTTAGTGTTGGGTCTCTGAATAAGAATTAGCTGCTGCTAAGGTTATCCATGTTTTCACCCCAACTCATTTTTTTTCTCTACAAACTGAAGAGTTAAATAACTTTAGTAACTGTTTCATGTATGTTCTATTAAACAAATTAATACTCTCAATAATTTTTTTAAAGTGAGTTATACATGTCTATGAAAGATCCAGATCGAGGAATTAGAGAGATAAATCTGGAGAAAGACAAGAAAGTCTTCAATCATTGCTTTACAGGTAAAATACGAAAACACATGATCTGCCATTTGTATTGCCTAGAAAGATAAAACAATCCACAACTATTTGGAGGGATGCTATAAATTCTTGCAAAGTACAGTTTTTCATGCTATCAATCACCTCAAGTAAGTCCCTTTGTTTATGATATGCTTTTCTCCAGTACTGTTGGATTTTTATGGAGTTTGAGCCAGGAGAAATTCATACATCATGGCTGTTCTTAAAATTGGCTTCATTTCCTTGCTGAGACCCAGGGACACATCTACCAAAGTTGTATATTTTTTATTACAAGCATCTGACAAAGTTGTTCTAAGTCTGTGATAAAAATTGTTGATTCTCTGGTGTGTAATCCCTCATATTATGTTCTACGATAAATTATTGCAGTTTATATTGTATGTAATATTAAGTTTATGTGGTTTGGATGCGCATATTACCCTTTTTATTTACTGCTTTGCTCTTATTCCTACAGTGACTAATGGATAGTTTCTATTGTGTTTTAAAGCAAAACATATATGTAGCATGTAACGGAACCGCCCCCAGTATGCACTTGGGTACTTCTGTTAGGATACCGCTTCCCTGTCCGAAAACCGACCACAGACACCACAGCAGACCAAACAAGACTAGACGACACCAGTCTCGAAGTAAATCAGGAAATAGACTACTTTATTTTAACACAGATACAAGATATATACACTCAGGAGACAATCCCCCCTCCCTGCATAATGACTCAGGGCGGGGCAATCTACCTTTAGTAACAAGAGACACACCAGCAGACAGTCCTGTCAGGAGGGAGGCTGCTGGAGACACCCCCCACCAAGCCAATACACATAAACACATACATCCCATATTAGTTTGCTCCAAGCAAGACACACAATAGAACAATGGGATGCAACCACATGGTATTAAACAATCAACAACCCCCCACCCCAATATTAGGACAGATCACCCTGTACCCCTAACAGGCACAGGGTGACTTACACATAAGAGGGATATGGCAAGCTGAAACGGGTCTTCCACCTCTCCAAAGTGAGCTGTGTTCCATGGGCCCCCCACCCAAAATGACTCCCGTCACATAGCGTTTACCCTCAGAGGGGTCGCTGATAACTTACCCAGGTCTCCCACAATATTACAGAGGCTGCCAATCACATGCACAGTTCCATGCACACCAATAATTCAGATTCAGTCTAGGGGATGTCTTTTTAGAATTTATTGCTGAATACCCTGAACAGGAGAGGGTTTAGGGTCAAAGGAACTCCAAAACAATACCTGCAACTTTGGGAGGACAAACTTCTCAATAATCTTCTCTACAGAAACCTTTCCTAGCGGTAACAGGGGATGGCCGGTATATCTACTGTAGCACTCTGTTAGGCTCCATGTACACTGCAGCTGATAAACTCACACTTTTCTGCTTTTTTTTCAGCAGCCCCTGAACTCTCCCTAATGTTTTCCTATGTGTCCATGTACACTATGTTGTTTACAGTGGTTTACAGGCAGCTGAGTTTACAGTCGTTTTTTTTAACGCACCAAACATGTGTTCAGGAGTAGATTTTATCATCGTTTCAAACGCCAGTTTGTAAATGCATGTAAACGCTTGTAAATGTGGCTAACCGCGTTTATAAGCGTTTGCGTTTGGAAATTGTTTTTAACTCTTCCATTTCCAGATGCTGTCTAGAGCCTTTTTTCATCAAGAAAAATGCATGCAAAGCATTTTCCTGGTACTCAAATGGACCTGGTACACCATACTTTGAGGTTTCGCATGAAAGAAAATATGTCAGACACTGCTGCAATAATTTCTGCACAGAAATGAGCTGGAACACATCCAAACACCACAAAAACAAAGACAGCTAATCTCAACACATACTGCTCTCTCTGCTTCTGCTCTCTCTATTTCTCTCAAAATGTCTGAAATAGTAATTTTTTTTACTGTTTTTCAGTGCATTCTGGGCATTTTGGAAGGTCTCCTGAGGTTATCTTTAAAAAACGCTTCTAAACGCAAATGCAAACGTTTTCAAGCAGTCAGTTTCCATCGTTCAGAAGTGTCCCGTGTACATTGAGCCTTAGAGAAGTCCCTGTGCACATAGCATCCTCTGGCACTTGGTTTCCTTTTAGCACTTGCATACCCAAAAAGGCTACAGCAAGGTCTTTACTCACAGTATCCCAGGAGCTGTCTGCCATTCAGCATCCACAGATCCTAAATGAAGGAGATAAAAGATCCTTTCTCCAGACAAGAACTTGGAACAGTGCTCTCCAGCAAAATCCATTAGCAGTCTTCTGCAGGTCCTCAGCCCAGCTCCTGCTGAGACCCAGACTTCAATTCCTTGTCTCAGTAGCTTTCTCCCAGGAGCAGCAGCCCCAGGCGGACTGGAACCCGTCTCTGGAGAGGAAAGCAAACTCTGCTCAGGCCTCCCAAACATTTATCCCCCCCCCCCCCTCATCTTCTGGACGCTTTATTCCAGGGATTGGCTGGAGCATAATAAATATATCAATGTTGGCTATTTGAATCTCTCAGCCCTGTATTCTGGAAGTTTCCTCCAGAAGCAGGCGAGAGAAATCAAAAAACACCCAGCTCAGGAAACCCTAAACAGACAAAACCAGTAGATCACTGCTCCACTCACTACAGTGAAGCCAAAAACTAGATTTAGCCTAGCAGCCTAACTAGGTAAGGGTCTGACATATACAATACACAAGAGATTAAAAAATCCATAAAGCTGAAATACAGGCACAAAAACTTTCATTGAACTATATTCCTTACAGGGTTACTATAACCACAAAAGTAAAATCAGTCTGTATATGCAGTAAAGCATGCTTGTTATACTCACTGTGGAACTTTAAGGGGTTAATCCTCTACATTGTGTAAAATGTTGTTTGCTCCTGATTTTCAGATCCTCCCCTTCTTCCACTGCTCCCCCCCTTATCTCTTGATAAGACATATCCTGTGGAGTTACATGCTCAGTTTGGTGTGTATTGCTAGAAAGGTTTTTTTTTTTCTGAGTGC